GTGTATATAACTAAATTGTTAGACTTTGACCACACAGACCTACTGCATGTGTTAGGCGCTATACTGAACGTGATCTACATGTAGCTAAACAAACAGTACTTACTGCATATTTAGCTCTGTGCTGAGATCCATAGACAAGCCAGTTTCCCTTTTTTGTGAACAGCACTGGATTGAGATTAAGTTCTGAATTGAAAGCTAAGATGCAACCTGCCAACTTCAGAAACTGCTTATGATATTTAAGTCATTCTTCCCTCAAAAGTGTAGTGAGTGATATATTCATTATAAAGGTAAAATAGGGGTAAACTAGTCCAGCTGCTGGGGAGGCTGGGGCAAAGAGGGTCGCTGTTCAAGGCTAGTTTGGGCAATCAGGCAAGACTGTGACAAAATTTAAAAATGTTTTAAAGGACTAAAATGTGGTTCATTTGTAGAGCACCTCTGCATTTGATCCTTAGTACCAAAACATACACACACAACTTTTCTTTCGCCACTCAAAACAAGGATGCATACGTAAAACACTGTCTGCATGATATTTTTTAATGTCGCACACACAATTTTAACGTTATGAGATCCACGGAGGACATAATCCCTATAGTCATCTGCATAGACCTAAGGAGTATTCTTTAGAACCACAAAAGCTATTGTGGTATGGGGATGGCAGATAAAGGATTCAGATGCAGGCAGTGTTTCTGTGATTCAGAATCTAACACATGGCAAAATCCAGAATCCAAAATCAAGCACACAGCATGTAGAAAATGGTATATGAACACCTACACAAGAGCAAACTGTACTGAAGTGTGGGCTGTTTTAATTTTTCCCGGCCATTAGGATATAGTCTGTATTCACAATAGACATTTAAAGTCATTTTTCCAGTAAAGTTATTTGAAACAGTATCCAGGCTCAGATACTTTGGGTTTGTTTGTTTGTTTGTTTGTTTGTTTGTTTGTTTGTTTTTATGTGTTTGGTACAGGCTCTCACTATGAAGCTCGGACTCATAATGATCCTCCTGTTTTCAGCCTCCCCAGCGCCGGGATTACAGGCATGCACCACCACACCAGGACTCAGTAGCCAGCTCTGTGCTTAGACTGCTGAGCTACCTCTGTGGCCCTGGGCGGCATTTTTTTCTGTTTTGCACCTGCCATATTTATACAGGGTGGGCCGTGCCTGGCCATAGCCAAAGCTGTTTTGAGGTATCACAGATGACAAGCAGTATCCTCTGTTCCTGGGTGGTAGGGACAAATGTCACACAGGCACACGGCTAAGTTGCACAGCTAGCTGGACCTGGGGACAACTCGAGACTGAGTCTGCACAGGCACTGGAGCAAGCACCTGAGCAGCTCTGGGTGTGGGGAAGGAGACGGAGGTGCCTTCTGGTGAGACCATATGCGACTTCTACACAGAAGCTGACATGGCCACAGTGGGCTGGGCGCTGGGAACAGTCCGGGGAAGGAAGCAGTGGCTCAGCAAAGGGGGCAGGGATAGGGGAGGCGGGGCAGGCGGTCAGGCCCCTCGCAGCTCCTGAGCCTTTCAGAAATGCTGGAGCATGGATCTCATTCTGCCAGCACGGTGGGCCGCTGGACACATGGGAAGGGAAGGCCAGGTGTTGCCACAGGTGTCTCAGAGAGCTGCCTGCATGCAGCAAGAAGTGGCCGGCAGGAGTGAGAGTAAGGAGGAGGTCAGCCAGGAGGCCGGGCCAGTGGGAGCCGGGCAGGAATGGCAGACGCTCAGCTTCCCCTCACGGGGGGAGCAACAAGGGAGCTCACAGCGAGGAGCAGGAGGAAGGCAAGAGCCAGGGCGAAGGGGTGTTACCTGCCTGAATCGTAGAAGTACATTGAGGAAAGGGTCAGGGTGACTGTGAGGTGTCAAAGTTGATATCAAGAGTTAGTCATATATGTGAAGCAAGTGCCAGGGAATGTGGAGCACTTGCTGAACAGTGTCCCTCGCCATTGTGCACTTACTGAACGATGCCCGTTAAATGTATTGCCACAAACTCTGCAGAAGCTCTTTACAATTTTGGGGGGCAAAACTGTTTTCTGAGGAGGATGGGTCCATGCAAACCTGCACACAGGGAAGGCGGGAGGGATGGCTTGAAGGGCTTCCAGCTAACAGACAGGTTGTATGTGGCACAACCTGCAGCTGCACAACTCCAGGTGGTCTGGCTGCAGCTCCTCTGGTCGCTACTGTGTTCCTGCGGTGATCTTCCCGCTGAGAGGCTCAGGCTCTTCCTGTGCACTGCACTTAGGCCTCAGCCGGTGCTGGGAAGAGTAAGAATCAGAGTCATCAATTCCACGCTCTGTCCTGAGGTCCCTTTCTCTGTATTCCTAAGAACTGTCCCATTTTGAAGTCTCCTCTGGAGGGCTTCTTTTCCATGGATGCTCAGGTGGAAATGGTCACTGTCCTGGCTGCATTGTGTGGGTGGTGTTGGGCCACTGCAGCTGAGGGAAAAGCCATGGAGGGAGGCCGTGACACGGGCAAGGGCAGCTGCAGCCCACACTTGCATGAGGAGCTGTTCTGTTCCCACAGATGTGAGGCTGTCCCCATGCTTGTCTTTGGGTATCTTCTGTACACAATTAACTCACCTGGAAACCTTGGGGGCATTGGTGACAAAGCAGCCTGGCACTCACACCTCTTCCTTCTTGCTGGCGACACAGAAGTGATTGCCCCAAACCCGCTGACCCAATACCATGGCAGCCCAAGTGAAGATTTGTTAGAAGCAGTGGTGAGCTCACGTCATGGACATGTAGAGCTTTCGAGTACCTTAGTCTTTTGCTGGTACGGGTTGTTTTGTGTATGATGTCTGGGCATTTTCTTTTATCCAAAGAAGCCTGGAGTTGCTAGCAGTTTCCTCTTGGTGTTTTGCCTGCCCTGGCTCTACTTTGGCTGCAACCCATCGTGGGTTGCTCTGCCTCTCCTATCACTGTGGTGATGATAGAACTATTTACTGAACAAGGTGTAGTTTCAAGACCAATATCCACCCAAGTTGCTCACCTGCCTCTGTGTATCTGGTGAAGCCTTAGCAGCTTCCTAGTATAAGGTCCTTAGAAACAAACAAACAAAAAAAACTGTCCCATTCCCTATCGGAATGAGGCTCACCTTCCCTGGAGAGCAGAGATCTGGCCGCAGGCCCTCCTGAGCAGGTGTGCCCCTCTCTTGCAGGACTCACATCACGCAGCAAGAGCGACCCACTATGGCTCCCTGCCCCAGAAGTCGCAGCACGGCCGATCCCAAGATGAAAACCCTGTAGTCCACTTCTTCAAGAACATTGTAAGTTCTGTGCACAGGGGAACACAAAAATTGCAAAGTGAAGGTCTATGGGCAGCTCGTAGGCACACCCACAGCAGACACAAGGTCCTCCATGTGGGCTGGCTGGCTTTCCTAGGTAACCATCAGTGGGAACTGCCACAGCATCCCCAGTTCCAAACCAGTACTTCTAAACTGCATTTTAGAAATGGTGCGCACCCACGAGAATGCACCTGTGTTGGTGCTGCTAGGTGATGTGGAACTGGAAGCATGGCTGTGCAGAGCCATGCGACAGCAAAGGGATTCGTGGTTGCCCAAGTCAAGGAAAAAGAGGGATGACTAGAGGAGCATGGGGCATTTTTAGGGCAGCAAAACTGCTCTGTGGGACACCGAGGTCGCGGATATGGACATACATCTGTGCAACACCACCACATGCACAACATGAAGTGAACCCTGGTGGAAGCCAATTAGTCACCACCGATGCTGATGTATCAGTATTTTTACAGCAGTTAGGAGCTACATGAGGGCACAGAATAATAACAGGTGACACTATGCAGTATATGGGAGTTCTAATTTCTATACAATTTTTCCATAAATCTGAAACTGTTCTGCAAAATAAGGTTTGTTAAAAAACAAGAACACAATGCTAAAAATCCCAGTGCAGCAGATATTTAAAGTAAGATCTGATAGGTGAGTTCAGGGTCCACAGGCCTGACAGAACACCCTCTGAAGCTTTAAATGTCAAAGGGAAGATGGAAAACAGGGCTCAAGTCCACGTCACAGGGTTGCACACCAGCTCCCAGCTGAAGGCCTTGCGGTGCTCTGCGTGGTCTGTGCAGCCTCCAGCAGCTGCAACTTCTCAGCTTCTGTATTTCTCTCATCTAGGAAGTGGGGAAGCTGGCAGAGTAGGTGGTTTCTGATACTAAGGGACATGAGGCATTCTCCATTAATCCAAGCTAGCCAGGGCTCCAGGGAGAGTGGGGACTGTGCAGAGGAGGGCAGCATCCAAGCCCATCCTTGTCTTGTGTTTTCCAGGTGACACCTCGCACGCCTCCCCCATCTCAAGGAAAGGTAAGACCATGGAAGCTTTTGGTTAATCATCACTTTATTCATAGGCATTCCCTGAAAGTCCCAAAATGTGTCATAAAAGAATGGACTCAGGGCACCTGAATCCTTTCCAGAACCTTTTTCGCCACTTGACTCCCAGTAGAATGAGGCTAGAAGATGCCGTGGATTCTCCCAACCACAGGTCTGGGCGTCGTCGGGAACCTGTTCCTCATCCCTGTGCTATTTTGCTTTATTGTTCTTGGTTGAGAAAGGCTTCCCTCATAACTGGTCATGGTGTCATTGTTTCTTTCTCTTCCTCACACAGGGAAGAGGACTGTCCCTCAGCAGATTCAGCTGGGTAGGTGACAAATGCATTTCCTGTCAGCTTTGTCCTCTGGTGCCCTGGACCTCTTGACTTGTGTTCCGCTCTCTCACTTGCTAACAGTCCTGCCTTTTCTTTCTTGGCCAGACCAGTTTGCCCCGAGGTTAATGGATTACTTTATTTCCTGCTGATGGGTTGGTTGCTCTTACTTCGGCATGGGGAAAAGCACACCTGGCCTTCCCTTGCAGCGTACCAAACTCTTGCTTCCAGGTCCAGGGACACAGGTGCTGCAAGGTCAGATGCCTCTTCTCCAGAAGGGCTCCCGCCAGGCCCCACCAGCCTCCTTTTTAGGGAAGGAGAAGCACCATTCTGGAGAAAGTTCTTAATTTCTTTCAGTATAACTGATTGGAAAAAACAATCCCCCAGAATGTTGGATGTGAAACCGTGACCAGCAATCCATTTAACCCCAAATGTTGAAATTTTGTTAGGAAAAATAATACTGCTCATGAAAAGAAAATATACTAAATTTAGTTATTTAATTTATAACAACTCCATTAATCCAAAAAGTTTTGATTTTGTGTTTTATTTATAACTAAATCTTAGGCATTAAGCCATCCAAGAAAACTTCCTTGGAAATCTTGAGCTTTCTAATCAAGAGCAAGTTTTTAATCAAGATTTAAAAGTAACTTATTGACTGACTTTCCAGAGCCAAGTCACCTAAAATGCCTACCAATATAGCTTCACCAAACTGACTTCTGTCCCTGGAAAGTATTCAATATAGTTGTTACTTTATTTTAAAAAGTACATATAATTTTCAGAGGGAAGTAGAAGGTTAACCACTACCTGTTGGCTGGGGATTGTTTGGGGAACTTCAAGATCTTTAAGATGGACTGCAGAGCCCACCTACCTGCTGCTCTGCTGTGGAGTATCCCATAAATGACAGAGTGAATTAAAGGAAAGTCCAAGGAGAAAGAACACAAAAGAGCAGGAAGAGGGAAGCTGAGAAGGAAAGATCACTTGACAAAAAGGGAGAGAAAAGATTCTGTGAAGCTCCGTATAGTCCAACACATGATCACATTGAATTATGAACCAAAACATTTTCAGAGTATCTTATACAAATAATTATTGGCCTGCTTTTCTCACCTAACAAATCTGTAAAACAGATGACAATAATGTAGTATAGTTGTATGAACATGTCCTCACAGCCAATTAACTTTTGATTTTCTGTGTCAGCAGGAGACAAAGATGCTATTGAAGAATGCAATCCACTTTTAAACCAAGAAATCTTGTTTTAGCAACTGTCTTATGTGCCTCTTAATTTTCTAGACAGGAACTCTTGACATGGGCATTATGCAAAATCATCACTGAATATGGAGTGATGGGGGTTTGGTGAGAAGACTAGCCTTTCTCCCCAGTCATTTTTAGGTCCCTTGAGCCCACTGGCTAACAAAAAAGACCTTATGTTCTTCTCTGCATTTCTTCATTTTTGCTCCCACCAATGTTTCTGAAATCTCTTTTACCAAAACTCGAACCTGCCCTACACTGTATTACCTTGTTTGTCTGTTTTCCAGCACTGAGGATGGAGTATCTGAAAGCCCCATTTGCTTTTTCTAAACTATCTTGTATGTTTCTTGGTAAATTCTAGGTTGTCCAGTAAAAGTGACCAAAAATTTGAAAGAGGAAAACTCAAGCAAATTATTAATGTGAATACCAATCTCTAAATTGAGTTCTCAGATACTCTATAATTTTGGAGAAAACCAGCAGCATGAGACAGAGGATTTAGTGTGTGCTCTGGGAATCAGGGTTTCAGCCGTTTAACATCTGTGTGTCTGGTGCAGCACTCCCTAACTGTCATCCGGTCCCCTGTGTGCCATCACCGAGTCTACGTAGCCGTGGAGGGTCCTCCGAGGATGTCTGGGTCGCCCTGGCTTGCCTCTAGTATGCCGTGCTTAGACCTTCTTCTTCTTTTTTTTTTTTTTTTTTTTTGTGGTACGGGGGATTGAACTCAGGACCTTGCGCTTGCCAGGCAAGAGCTTATTCTACTGAGCTATCTCCCGGGCCCATGCTTAGACCTTCTTTGCCAAGTGTCCTCTTTCCTTTTCCCCAAATGACAACCCTACAGACCACATGTTCAGGTGAAAGTAGCTGTCTGTCATCTAAGGAACCACAGTCTTTTCCCAAATTTGGTTGAATGAAACCGAAGCTGGCATGGCCCTGTATGCTGTGCCGAGGGCAAAAGCCCTTACCCCACAAGGTTGGCACCAAAGTTCACATTTATAGTAAAATCTACTGTTTGAAAACAACACATATTAGAAAATAAATTGGCCCCATGACACAAAGACCTGTATCTCCAAAATCACTTCCCATTGTTGCATCTCAGTAGTGGTTTTCATCCATCCCATCCCTGAAATGAGGGGGCAGCCAGCCCCCAGAGATGTGAGCTTGGATGTGGAGAGCCTTCAGGCTCCGCTCTTGGGGCAGCATTTCCACAAAGTCTTTGGGTTCTCATAACATGCTAAGAAAGAAAGGACCATCACTAGTGTCAGATAGAAATATGGAAATTGAATCTTAGAGAGGTTCCAACACTGCTCAAACTCATCCAGGTAGAAATGGGGTGCAGAAACCCTACTTAGAGGTCTGTAAAACTATACACTTGGGCCTCAGACCCCACAGCATATCTTCAGCCCATGCTACAAATCTCCCTATAGGTGACCCCTTGATAGACTTGGGAACAGGGACCTCTCTGATCTCTCCCCTTCGTTAGCTGGCCTGTGGCTCCTGAATGGCTCACCAAATCCACCTGGTAGTGTGGGTCACTCACTGGTGGGGGTCACAAGTGGACACTGAGTTCTGGTCTTTTCTTACAGGGGGCCGAGGGGCAGAAACCAGGATTTGGCTACGGAGGCCGAGCTTCCGACTATAAATCCAAAGGATTCAAGGGGGCCCATGATGCCCAGGGCACGCTTTCCAAAATCTTTAAACTGGTAAAGTAACCTTCCTTCCTGGGGAAAGGCTGGGGGTCTTCCATGGGGATGCAGAGCTCAATACATGCAGTGTTTACTGCTGCCCTGTGCGGGTCTCAGGGTGGAATGTGTCCACATTTTCCAAGCACAGAGGTCAGGGATTAGAAAAAGGCTCATTTAAAAGACAAATTCCAGAATCCCCAGCTAAGGGTCACTGCCACCTCTTGCTTACCATCCACAACATGACTTCAGTGCATTCACTGTCCCAGGCCTGGCCTGGCCACCTCTGCCATCCATGGTGGGATTTTCTGGGAGGTGAACTTGAAATGTCACAGGATCTAGGAGATCAAAGAAAATAATGAGGAAAGGGGAGGATTTATTTTCAGGATTTCAGATACACATCAACCCAGCTGAACTCATGTCCAGAGTGCTGGGTGTTAGAACAAAGGAAATGTTCTAGTTTTATACATTCAGCCGAAGGGGTTCTTGGATGGGGAAGCAAAAGTACAGATTCAAGACAGAGCTTGATAACTTAACCTTGAGAGAAGACAGAGCCTTATGAATCCTACAAGGAACAAAATGACATAGAACAGGACATAGATGCCAACCTTATCTGTACCAGGGCAAGAAGTTATAGCTGGGATGGGGGTGGGGAGACTCTAGGAGGGTTCCTCTCTAGGTCCCACTTCATTTCTCTCTCTGTCTCTCTCTCTGTCTCTCTCTCTGTCTCTCTGTCTCTGTCTCTCTCTGTCTCTCTCTGTCTCTCTGTCTCTGTCTCTGTCTCTGTCTCTCTCTCTCTCTCTGTCTCTCTCTCTGTCTCTCT